AGCCTGACCCAGGGAGGTGTTAAAGTCAGTGAAGACCTCCGCTAACTCAGTAGCGCACTCCGTTAGCACGCGGCTTGTGATGCCATCTGGACCTGCAGCCTTCCGTGTGTTAACTCTTGCCAGAGTCCTCCTTACGTCAGCTAGGGAGACAGACAGCACCTGGTCGCCTGGGGGAGGCACTGCTTTCAGGGCCAGGGTTGTGTTGAGTGCCTCGAACCAGGCATAGAATATGTTCAGCATATTGGGCAGGGACACATTCCCATCATCAACACTGTTGTTTCTTCTTTTGTAGCCAGTGATGTACAGTATGCCCTGCCACTTCCATCACATCTGCCTTGGGTTCTTGTCCACAAAGTGCTCCTGAATCCTCAGGGCGTAGGCTGATTTGGCTTCCCTGATGCCGCTGGTTAAATTGGCCCTAGCTGCTTTGAGTGCAGCTCTGTCGCCAGATTTAAATGCAGCATTTCGAGCCCTCAGCAGCTAACGGACCTCAGAGTTCAACCAGGGCTTCTGGTTAGGTTGAATAGTGACAGACATAGTGATCACAGCATCATCTGCACACTTGCTGATTTAGCCAATGACAGATGACGTGTACTCCTCTAAGTCCAAACAGTCCCCGTACGATGCTAATTCAATTTTTTGTTTAATTTATTCAAATCTACGTTGAATTTTTTCACTTATATTATTTTACAATTCATCAATCAATTTACATTTTAAATGTATTATATGTATGAATCATGTACTGAATGCTGTTCAGGGATAATTAAATTTACGTTTGCACTGCCTTGAATTGTTTCTGGAGCAAATAGCATGTTTTCAACACATTTCTGGAACAGATGATGCATGATTATATCACTCAGAGATGCTTGTACTCAAACACAACATTAAACAAACAAACAACAGTTAAGAGTTGAATCTGTAATTCAGAAGAACTTTCTACATAGACATACATGTAGATCTACATAGAACATAGACAGACATGAGATAACAACAGACTATGGTTTGCTAGCTGTACCAGTGAGCATGTCTGGTGCCCAGTGATTTCCATCTCTTCAGTTCCTTACAAAAGAACATGTCCATCATGTTACCTACTGACAGTGAATACAAAAGGCAAAAAGGTAAATACTGGAGTCTGACTTCTAGTATGATAGATTCAACATGTTGATGTCAAGGTGAAACACATCCCTAACTTAATTTGATTTAGTGAGTTCAATGCTGAACACATGAGCTACTGTAGGTTTATTTTATTTCATTTTAATTTTTGTTGTATTTACAAATAAATGTTGTATTAATTATACACTTCTCTTTGGGACTCTGCCTCAACTCACAAGAACAAATGAGATCACTAGACAAAGTAGAAGCATATTTGAAGACTTTTGAGAGGAAAGTAGCAAGAAATTGGTTTACAAAGGAGCAATGGACTGGAATCACTTTTACTTGCTCCCACTTTTAGGTGGGAGAAGCCATCTGCAATCTTTTACGAGGACACTTGAACTAATTTTGACTTTGTTCTATTGTCCAGGAATTATTAAAAAGGTTGAAGATTAGTTTAGGAGGTAGCCCAAAATAATGGCTCCACAACCACACTGTCACAGTATACTGATCCTCTTACCTATAATTGGTCGATACCTTTAACAAGACTTTGAAAAGTATGTTCCGTAAAGCTAAGGAATGGGATTGTCGTAATGAGGATCAGTCACTGCCTTTTCTCTAGTTAGATAGTCTTTGACTGATTTCTCTCCCCATGAGCTCTTGTACACTAGGAGACATCTCAATAGTAAAGGAATACATGGAATGAGGGCACGATCAGCAAAGAAGCTATTATTATCCAGTGTCGCTTTGTGAATTTCAGCCCAGTGAGGCAGTTCTTGTTTTGGTTCCAACAATTTAAATTCCCAGCAATGTGGAAAGATCTGTAGTAGTGGAAAAAATCAGCCCAGTAAATTACAATGTGCAACAACGAGTATACGAAAGTACAAGCATACCATATAAACATGCTAAATGTTATAAATGTGAAGTTTTGATGGTCCATTTAACTCTTGACCCATTAGCTGAAGAACTTAATTAGTTAATTTGGCAGTACATTTGGATAGCTTAAGTTTGGCACAACTTCGGTACTCAGGACATAAAATAATTCTTGGAAAAAAGATGTTCTCCATTTGTCGAGGCTAAACTCACTTAGTCCTTACTGAGTACTAGATGGTTGTTAAGATACAACCTGTGAAGTAATCAATAATGGGACTATTGAAGGGTGAATGGTTGACCAACATAGTGCTGGTACTGTACCTAAACCTGATGGAAGCTTCAGATTTTGCAACGTTTTTCGAAAGTTAAATCAAATCTCAAATTTGATTTAAATCCAAACTTTGGCTTGATGAGCTGATTGAACAACTAGATATGGCTTAATAATAATAATGATAATAATAATAGTATTAATAATAATACTAATAATAATAATAATAATAATAATAATAATAATAATAGCCAGCAGCCATATCACATTGCAGCTCTTAACTTAAGTTGAGCCTGGTCAGTACCTGGATGGGAGACCTCCTGGGAAGCTATGGTTGCTGCTGGAAGTGGTGCTAGTGGGACCACCGGGCGGCGCTCACCCTGAGGTCTGTGTGGGTCATAATGCCCCAGTATAGTGGTGGGGACACTATACAGTAGAGGGTGCTCTCTTTTGGATTAGACGTTAAACCGAAGTCCTGAATCTCAGTGGTCAGTAAAGATCTCCGGGCATTTCTCGATAAGAGTAGAGAGTTCCTGTGTCCGGGCCAAATTTCTCCCTCGGCCATTACCATGGCCTCCAAATTGTCCAAACGTATGATTGACTTACACTTGCCCTGCAATGGACCGGTGTCCCATCCAGGGTGTACCCTGCCTTGCGCTCATTGCTTGCCGGATAGGCTCTGGCTTTCCACGACGCCGTATGGTATAAAGCGGTATGGCAAATGACATGACATGGCTTTTAGTTGTCCAGCAGAATACCAGATTTATCACCATATTAAATAAACTTTTAAAGTATTAAGACTAGTGTAGCTGTTATCTTTTTTAATTTAGCTTTATAACTATCTCAATATCTTTCTCACAAAATCCTATGATATAAAGACCATATGGTATAAAGCAGTTTGACATAATAATAATAATAATAATAATAATAATAATAATAATAATAATTTCTTATACAGTGATCTTCTGGACACTCTGGACTCCCCTCCACCACCAATGTGGAGCCCCACCTGTATGATGTGACGGCTGCCGTAATGCGCCAATATCTTTACCACACATCAGCTGTAGGTGGGGAGGAGAAAAGAATGATAAAGCCAGTTCTCAGATGGTGATTATTAGGAAGGCATGATTAATAATAATAATAATAATAATAATTGCTTACACTTATATAGCGCTTTTTCTGGACACTCCACTCAAAGCGCTTTACAGGTAATGGGGACTCCCCTCCACCACCACCAATGTGCAGCATCCACCTGGATGATGCGACGGCAGCCATAGTGCGCCAGAACGCTCACCACACATCAGCTATCAGTGGGGAGGAGAGCAGAGTAATGTAGCCAATTCATAGAGGGGGATTATTAGGAGGCCATGATGGGGTAAAGGCCAAGGGGGAAATTTGGCCAGGACACCGGGGTTACACCCCTACTCTTTTCGAGAAGCGCCCTGGGATTTTTAATGACCACAGAGAGTCAGGACCTCGGTTTTACGTCTCATCCGAAGGACGGCGCCTGTTTACAGTATAGTGTCCCCGTCACTATACTGGGGCATTAGGACCCACATGGACCGCAGGGTGAGCGCCCCCTGCTGGCCCCACTAACACCTCTTCCAGCAGCAACCTTAGTTTTTCCCAGGAGGTCTCCCATCCAGGTACTGACCAGGCTCACACCTGCTTAGCTTCAGTGGGTTGCCAGTTGTGAGTTGCAGGGTGATATGGCTGATATGGATTAGTAAAGGCCAATGGGAAATTTGTCCAGGACGCCGGGGTAACACTTCCACCTTTTTTTAAAAAGACCCTGGGATTTTTTATGACCACAGAGAGCCAGGACCTCAGTTTTATGTCTCATCTGAAGGACGAGAGACTGCCCTTTGACTGATACAGTAGGCTTGACATATTACCACTCTCAACCTAACAAAAGATTATTTGCAGGTTACTTTGGCTGATGACTCAAAGGAAAAGAGAGTGTCTGTTACCCCTGAAGGTCTGTACTAGTACCAGGCACTACCATTTGGCATGCATGAAACACCAGCTAGTTTAATGCATCGAGTACTCTGATCCCATAGGAAGTTTGCAGCAGCACACTTGAAAGGTAGTGGAATATAAAAATGTTCTTAAAAGGTCAGACAACAGTCTCTCTGTTATGAGTCGTACTGCATGTGCACATTTTGTAAGATATATGGGGTCCCTTGTGACTTGGAGTTTCAGGTAATTGACAGATACTGTATATACAGTAACTGCCCCACCCCTGAAAAACACAAATATGGCAAATGTTCGTATAAATATGTAAATTTAAAACATAGCTTCAGGTCCACTCAATTATTAAATAAGAAGTAAATCTGTAGAACCTAAATAATTCCTCCATACTACATCCTCTTTCTTCTCTAGTGCTTAGAATGAGAAATACGCTTTTATTGAAAGATTAATCAAGCAAAAATTGTTTTCTTTATCAATTTTTTTCAACAGATACTTTGAACAGTTTCTTTAAATAAGATCAAGAAGTTGTTGCTGCTTTGTATGTACAGTAATATGACAGAATTTATTTTTGGATTGTTTTATTTCATTTCAGGAAATGTCTATTTTAACAGTATGAAGTTTGTTTATATTAGATTTGTTGTTTTTTACCCTTATACCCTTCAAGCAAGACCACATCATTTCAGACGTATCCACTGTGAGGGTTTATTTCAAGTTTCCTGTTCTGCAGAAACATGTTGCTGCCTGTTTTGATTTCTCATTCACCACACAAGTTTCTACATCTTTGCCTTCATAATACTTTTGATCATCTGGACCTTTGAACCTCATAATAACATGATGTGTTTTGCGTTGTTCTATATTTTAAGTGAGTACACGATAGATCACTTGTATGTATTAAAACTGTTACAGAGACACTTTTGGTGATTTAATTAAATCATTACAGGTTGTTTTAATTAGATTGTTTAATGTTAATTTATATTGTAATTTAAGGTGTGTTTTGGAATTTTCCTGAATTTTAATATCGTATTTTAAAATTACAGTTGCCACTGAAGTGAGACAAGGATTTACAGGTACAGTTTGCTCTGTGTTTGTTATTATAAATTACTGTACTGTATCCAGATTATAACTGGCATACTTTATCAATTTTCAGTTTCCATGGGGACAAAAGGTATGTTGTATGTTTTCATGATTTAATTATGCTTCATATATTTTCTAAACAAATAAAGCATGCTTATCCATGTAAATGTAAATTAATAAGGAAAGATTTTAATCACAGTTTATTTTGGCACAATGCAAAAAGCACATTTATTCATTATTACAACTGTAATTTTTATAAACTGCAATATACAATGAAACTATTTTTAATTGATTTATGTCATCTAATGCTACAAAATATACAATTACCGTATTTTTTTTCTTGAAATCCAAATCCCAAAACAAATCATATAAGCATATAAACAGAAGTGTTTTGTGAACTGAAAGCATACAGTACATGATGAACACATTTTCAGTGCCTCATGATGTTTTGCCAATCGTGCTTACGAAAGAAGAGATGTTATTCATTACCCCATAACTAAGTCTTCCTGTACTCACTAAGACAGGGATAGTAGCCAACAGTGAATTATTACTGTAATGCCCATCCATCAAAAAGATGACAAAATTGAACAAAATAATTACCAATAAGTCTGACCCAAGTCTGACAACTTGCCCCTCTTGGGGATAATAAAGACACTCTTTTTTTACATGTAATTTGAAATTAAGCTATTAGGATATAAGAATTTAGAGGATAGTCAACATGTTTTTAGAAAAGGTAGCTTTTGCTTATCTAAATGTTAAAGTTCTCTGAACAAGCAACAGTAGCAATGAACACACAAAGATTATACAAAATTTTCTTGTTAAAAGATCAGTTATCAAATTACAAACAGTAAGACGCTGGGTGAAATGACTTTGTTTGGAGTGAGTACTGGATAACATCTGGAACACTGGAATTGGAGATGAGGGATGAATTGTCAAACTGGTGATGTACTGTACTGTAATTAGTGGAGCTCCAGAGGGACTCGATCGTCACAATCAGGATGAAAAAAAAAGGAAAGAAAATGTTAGCATAAAGAATTTAAATCAAGGGTATGTTATGGTATAATTCTTTTATGTGCTAGTAATACTTAATTATATTTAAGTCATTTAATATAATGTTTAATATTTAATTTATATTGAATTCAGAAAAAACATGTTTTCTGTACTATGTTACAAAATAATATTGCTGCTTTGGAATCAAATGGGAGATGATTAATGAAGACATTTAGAAAATAGACTTCTTGAGTAAGTCCTGGAGAGTCCATTACTTTGACAAATGCAGAATTATCTGTTGGGGAAACTTGAACATATCTTTGTTCCTCACTGCCCTAATTTGTTTCCTCAAACGTGGTCAGTCTTCTTCCAGTTTTGACAATATAAAGGGCAGGGCATTTTCTGTAAAAGATGCAGTAAATGAGCCTGATGAACAACAAAATACTCTCTGGTACATCTTGAAATGAGCAGTTGGGACAACTATATGCATGCTGTTGGATATATATTTAAAGGTACTTGTGAATGTACTGGAAATATACTTATGCTGTATTTGTGCTGAATATTGCATTTGTGCTGGATACATATTTGCAGTTGATTATGTCTAATTTGTCCTTAGGTTACAAATATTCTTGTTTTAAATTAAAGTATTGTTAAAAGTTATATATTCAATTCAATTAATAAACAACTGAATTTTACTGACAGGCCTGTCTGAAAAACCTGAAGTTGAAGTACACTTGAAACATTATTACATAGGTGATGATATAAGCATACGCTGTGGAGCAAAAAGAGGAATCCGCTGCCATTTCTACATGGATGGGAGTGCGGTCCCTTTCAGATCAGTGCCATACAGACAACAGTATGGGCAGTGTCACCTCTCTCTGTCTGTTGAGGAGCTGGTGGAGGACAGGGACTTTGGGGATAGTACTGAGGTGTCTCTGAGCTGTTCTGTGGAATTCAAAATGGATGGACAGCTGAAAAGTTCACAGCGCAGCAAAGCTGAAAAAGTGACAGTGTTTGGTGAGTTTTCTTTTTGCTGCTATCATTTTAAAATACATTTTAAAAGGAATAGTTTTATTCAGGAATAGTTGTGGATAACTTTGTATTATTCAACCCATGTTCTTTCTATGCAAAATACATTGCTTGATGGAACTTCTGCATCGTTCTTTACAGACACGTTCAGTAAATATGGAAGACCTCATATTCAAGTGGACCATAAAGTGATAAAGGACGAACGTTCTGTTCAAGTACTCTGTCACTCCGAGACTGGAATACGCTGTTTCTTCTACAGTGGCCAAGCTAAACAACCTTTTTCATCAATAATATACAGCAAGGAATCTAAAACCTGTCAGCTCACTGTGCCAGAGAAGACATTACTGACAAGGACAGAGGACAGGATGAGTCCTGAGATCCTGTTCAGTTGCAGTGTGGAACTGAATTTAGAGGGAAGAGCAGTGACCTCACGACGCAGCAAGAATATCAAAGTGGACATAAATTGGAACAGTGCAGGTTTGTCACAGTACTGTAACTTTGTTTACCCCTTTAAATCTTAAGAAAAGTACAGTATTTTCAATTTGAGTTTAGAACTCCAAAATAAAGGCCTGTAGGCTATAAATTTGCTTTTATGGTTCACTAAGCTAATAATTAAACTTTATGGCTGAAGGTTTTATCCTTTTTGCAGGGTTCAATGTGACAGAAGAGCCCTTGTCAGCCACTAGTGAGTAAGAAATTCTTGAAATTTCTTTAATAATACTGCATATCAAAGTCTGTTACTGTTTGTTTTCAGTTCATGACTCTTATATGGATGTAACACAAATTTAATTTTAATACTTTTTCAAATGTGTTCCGTTTTAGTTCAATGTGGTTTTTATTCTGGAGTTTGCACAATAATAAATATCAATAGATTATTTGAAATCTTCTTTTCTTCTTTTTCTATTCTTTTTACATAATCTCCAGTAGGTAAACCAAGAGCTATTACAAATGTGCTCTATCATTCTGGTTACTTTCTCAGTTACTCAGTTTCAAATACACACATTTCATGATACAAATATTCTGATACTATAGCAATTTTAAATGTATTAAACTTTCTAGGATACTACAGAGTTGAATATTAACATATTACAGTATATAAAATCAAAGTGAAAAATATGCTGTACAACAGCAACAAAACACTGTATTAAAAGTATTCAGATTAATAGATTAGGCTGATATGTTTGAAAGTTAAATAGATAAAGTTAATTGTTAAAATTATTAATTCAGCCCCTTATACCAGCTTGCTTAGCAAGAAAATTGATAAACGTTGACAGCACTATAGTTAGGAACTATTGAGCAAGGAAACATAATGTCTTTGTTCCTGGCACAGCATGTTAAATAAACAGATGGCAAACAGAAAATGCAAACATCTATTTAAAAACGTACACTAAACAAATAACACATTATTAACAATTGACTTAGTTAAAAGTCCCTTAGTTGTTCCCCTTAGTTTCCATGTACGTCTACTAGAAAGGACTAAAATATAACACCACCACTCTTTTGAAAAGTGCCATGGTATTTTTAATGATAACATAAAATTACATTATTTAAACTCAGCACTTTGTACTCCAAGAAACAGTACTGACAACCATCAAACCTATCTTGGTCAGTTTTTAAAATATATACAGTTGGACATATAATACAGTTCTACAGCAACATTTCTTTAAAGTTGAACATTAGACAAAAGAGTACAGGGTGTTCCATTTGTGTAACAAGAACAGGAACCACTGCATTAATATTAATTGGTAAGTACCTAGCTTGAACAAGCTATGTAGGAAATATAAACTTATTTGCTTATGTTTACACACTATGTCATTTTCATATAATAAACAGAAATATAAGATATACAGTTAAAGTGTATAATTTATTTCAACATACATTATGTTCAAATGTATAATGCAGTAGTAAAACCTCATGTAGAATTTTTTAATTTTTTGTTTTGCACAATTTGGGTTACCACAAAATAAAAATTATATTGCTGCTCTGAAATGAACATTTCAGTGTTGAACTGATGGACCTCGTTCTAGCACTCGCCTTGGTGCACATGCCAAAATCTCTGACAAGCTGTCTGTGTGTTGAACACTACATCACCAGGAAATAACCTCACAGTGTTTTTATGCACCCCATCCTATAGGATTATCTTAGGAATCTCTCTCTGTCAAATTAATTAGAAGTGGAGCTTATTAAATTAATTAGTAGTGCACCTCATTAATCTCCAGATTGGTCAAAGCAAAGGACACAAATTAAGCATAGAGCACAGAGAACAAAAAGAATTGAAATTAAGGAAAAAAAAACAATTACATGCACCACATCACAAAAGCCACTTCAGCAAAGTTCAGTTCAGTCACTTCAGTGCTTTTCCTGTGCTCAGTTGTTCTCAATGGAAGACACTGGAAGTCAGCATGCTTAACACAAAATGGCACTTTTGTATACACTACAGAAAAGAGCCAGCTGAAGTAAAATGGAACAGTGGCTCTAGCAAACTGAAAGCCTCAGAAAAAGGAGTGTCACTCCTCTGGAACCCCAAGAAAAGACAAAATAAACTAATACATACGCTTCATCCAATCTGTAGATCAGAAAACTAGGGAAGGGAGTGAAGACAACAACAGTTTTTTTTATTCTCCACAGATTCTGCTAGAAATATCACTGCACATGTATTAACATATTCTATGCACACTACTCACTTATTGTGTATTATGTTGCATTTACTACTCCCATCCCCCTAGTTAAGATCTACTTAAAAGCAAAACCAAAAAACTGACGAATAGAAACAGACTGTCACAGAACACCACTACTCTATTGAAAAGTGCCATTGGAGTTTTAATGATTAAATAAAATTACATGATTTAAACCCAGTATAAGACCTAATACTTATGGTTTTTGTAAATAATACTGATGACCATCAAACCTAACTTGTTCATTATCTAAAATATAAATAACATCCAAGGAGCTGTTAACACTGTTGTACTGTTGTATTTTTTTCTGCATTAGTATTTCTGACAGATGCTGACCTTGTTACAAGTGACAAACATTTAGGAGTCTACACATCTGGATCTAGTAAGTATCAGTTGAAAGGGTCAAATGGAAGCCCAAATCTGCCACTAGGCACTATAAGAGTATTCCCAAATGTATTGCGATGACTAAGGTTTCACTCACTAGTAATGAATTGTTCTAGAGACTGTGTCCTGTATAGATTGTGCTTATTGAAGACATTGTAAATGTGAAGCAGTCAGTGTTCCTAATAAAGAATATAAATCCATTCCTCTGTTTTCTAACCACTTCACCCAATTCAGGGTCATGGGGAAGCCAGAGCTGGCAAGCAACAGGTGCAAGGCAAGATAATAACCTGGATGTAATGCCAGTCCATCAGAGAGCATATATATACTGTATATATGATATAATAAAATTCTATTGCTTGTAATGTTAATTTCCTTACAGCTCAGGACAACATGATGGCGAATAGACACAATCAGGAAAGCGTCTCTGTGTTGTTGACAGAAATGCTTCTGTTGTGTTGCTGGGTGCATCTCTTGGAAATGTCCAGTATAGTTGCCTTCCAAATGACAGACAAGAATGCAGTAAAAGTAATGCAGTCAAATACAGTATTGATTATTTAACTGTTCTGCGTCCTCCAATGTATAGAAGCAGTATTTTAAAAAAGTTACTTATTATATTTTAAAAATCTAAACGTACTAGCTAAATACACTAAAATCAATCATTAATATAAATTAGGAAGAGCAGTGGGTGTAATATAGTTCCCTGTGGTACTCCATTAGTTATAGTATATACGGTAGCCTGAATTTTGGCATTTACCTCTTATCTTTACTCGTTGTTGTCTATACTGTACATTGCCCAAACTCTCTGATTTCACTCAATGCCTGCAACCTGTAATTTGAGAACTATCTTTTATGAGGAACTTGAATACACACCTTTGGTGATTCCACATATCCTTTATTACTCTACATGTTGTGTGTCTATTACTGCATGTTCAATGGTTGCTCAAAGAACTCTATCACATCAGTTAAGGAAAACCTGCCTTTTCTAAATTCATGTGAGCTATCCTCTATCCTTATTTCCTTATACAGGTAGGTGATCCTCCAGTTTAGTTTAATGTATAATTTGCATACATTTACATAAAATATTTGTCAGACTTATTGATCTATAATTAATGTGTTCATTTTTTTTGTATAGGCTCCTATCTTAAGCAACTGTGGAGAGGCATCTCATGTTTCCTTAAGGTTAATTAGACAAATACCATCAGGCTTTTGGAGATCTGTCTTAAATTCCTCTAGTCCTTGAAACACCTCAGTTGCTATTATATTGATAAAATAAGTGCTTAATACAGGGCTATACACTTGCACAGCTGAAGCCATGTTGTCATTTTTTCTTTCTGTGCAAACATTTGAGTGAACTCCTTATTTCACCCCATATTTATGTATTTATTTATTTGTTTGTTTGTTTAGTATGTAGTATTTCAATGGTTATTTTGTTTTCATTGTCTAGAAGTTCCCTGTTGTTATCCTGGGTGTTTGCTTGCACTTGCAATGTGCAATCATTTCCTTAAAGAACCTATTATGTTTAATTAAGCTTTGATTAGTTTTTCTCTCTCTTGGCCTTTCTAACTTGTGCTTGTAATTCATTTTATTCTCTTTTAAAAGGATCATGTTTTGTTTCAATCATTTTAAATCTTTCTTTCTCAAAACATTTTTTCGGTTTGAATTCTTAAACAAATTGGGCCACTGCTTTTTAATCTAGAATTTACTTACTTTTGGAATAAAAGTTACTGTATGTGTTTCCAAATTAATAAAATCTGCACTTTTGATTTCGCTCATCCTTGCTCAAAATGTACTTCAAGGATAACTAGCTTATGATTAAAACAACCTTGATGTTTCATTCACTTCTGTTTTCCTCGCATTTCATGATTTTTTTATAACACTAGATCAACACAGCTGTTCCCTCTAGTAGGTGCTCTGACAACTGATCTTGTATTGGTTCAGATCAGCTGTTCAACATGGTGTGACAAAATATTATTTTTTCTTTTCCTAATTATATGAACTGTCTTTTTTTCAGAGATTTTCTTGATCCACCTAATCTTTTTATTTACATGTATTTATGCTTTTTTTTTTTACAGAACACTACATCGGGATAGCTACTGGATTATTACTCTTTGTGTTGGCAGCAGTCATTCTGACATCACTCTTTTTCATACATGGTGCGTCAATCCTTCTTTATTGTAAAAGGCTATTTAGATTTCAGCTTGTAGTTTTAAAACACTTGTTAAAATACATTATGTAATAAACTAATTATATTGATTGAAAGAAAATCACAGGGCGTCTCTATTTAAATGGTAGCATTTGTTCCACTGTCTGTGCCTTTTATTTACAGAAAGAAACCAACATCACAGAGGAAGGTGAGTAATCAATTTGTAATCTTTCTCTTCCTGGAGTTTCTTTAGCTGCAATGAAGTCTTTCTGAATTTCATTGTACTGTACGTCCATGCCTGCTGTAAATGTTTGTAGTATAAATGGCTCTCCGGGCCATCATTGTAAATGAGAATTTATTCTCAATTTGAATATCTTGCAAAATAATACATTATATAAAATGAGAAATGCTTTTAGTAATGTTTAATAAATAACAAATTAATTTTTCAGGGAAAACATAATGAAAAGGACATCTGAGTTGTAAAAACACTTTTGTAAACAGATATGTAAAAGTTTTTACATACAGTTGTGAGAAAAAGTGTGTGACCCCTTTGGAATTATCTGGATTTCTGCATGAATGGCTCCTAAAATGTGATCTGATCTCCATCTAAGTCATAAAAATAAATAAAGACAGTCTTATTCAACAAACAACACACACAACATTTTACATTGTCATATAGCAAATGGCTTAAACAATCAAGATCATTGATGGTGTAGTGTGCTCTCACGAGGCACCAGTTCTGTAGGGTTTGGGCATTTACTGGAACAATTATTAATTGTAGCGGTAAGTCACAAAATGATTCTTTTGATGGCTTTAGAATACAACTTCGCGGTATAACTCAAACAACGCACACGCACAGGTACTAATACACAAGAATACATTTATTAATACATAAAATATGCATATAAATCTAACAGATCTTATCATGAGGGTTATCAGAATACAAAAGATATATATTCATTCAGTCACAAAGAGTTACATATATGAAGAGGACATACGTTCGCTATATCATTCATTTAGACTGTTTCGTAAATTAACTTGGTTATAACTTCTACATTAGATACTCAAAACAAGTACATAACTCTTAGGAATTAAATTGATATCAACTTGTTGGGATAACAATTGAATTATTGAGCTGTAATGCATTGAAGTTGAATACTCATCCAATCTCTGGGGATTCAGATCTCCTGCGGGCACAAAGAAACAGTTGCAGGCTTGTTGCTGTCCAATCCGCGCTCTCTGGCTAGGTGCCAAGCTGTGCTGTGCTCTCTGAAGACCGGCTAGTTAGTGTTGGTTTTAACTAGCAAAGTTGTACTCAGGAGAAAAGATGACTGTGGGTCCCAGCAGGTCAGGAAGAGGACCGGTTCATTCCTGATGAAGCGCTAGTTCTGAATACTGTCCACAGTTCCGACCTGTTCACGAGGCTTGCTGCTGATGCTAACCTCGGGTGGATCCTCTGGTTACTCTCTGGCAACCTCCGCTCTAGACTCTTAGAACAGATTAAAGTTCTGGCACTCGGACACACTGGCCGTTCCGTGGTTGTCTGGGCTGAGTCTCAGGATGGTCAGGAGGCGCGCTGTGAGAATGTCCTGCCTTTGGGAGCCTTTCTGCTCCTGGGACGTACTGCCCTGGAATTGTCTCGAACCCCTGGAATTCTCCTTAGAATTCTCCTTAGAATAGTCCCTGGGAGCTCTGTGTTGCCTGTTTTTACCTGGAGGAACTTCAGCTCACTCATAGGCTGAAAGTTTCATGGGCATCAGAGACCCACGTGGGTTACTCGGCCCTTCCAGTCCCTGATTGGTTGATCAAGGTGAGATATGAGTCACTTACTCCTGACACTTAGGAATGCAGTCCAGATGTCCATCTGGCACTCCCTAGACAGATAGGCACCAATGGATGACCATTGATCATGATAGCCAGGCTTAGCTAAGTGCATCCCCATTTGGGAGCTGTTCCTTATCAAAGGAAACCTTAAATCAGCCTGCATGAATAGTTTCTCTGTGACTGCACCACAGAGATGAAGAGAGAGATGGGGCCTCATCTGGGAAAGCACAGCAACACTTAATTCTGTCTTATTAACAAGCATTGCCGCTACAATGGAAAAAGTATGTGAACCTCTAGGATAATGACATCTTGAAAAGAGGGTAATTGGAGTCAGGTATTAAAATCAGTGAGTCAGGTGTTCCAATCAATTCAGGTGTGGGATTGACCTGCCCTGCTGTATAAAAATTATACAATTTTGGTTACATGCTCTTCATAACGGAATTCTGTGCAGTATGGCCTGATCAAAATGATTTCAGAGGACCTCAGAAGAAGAGTTGTTGAAACTCATAAGACTGGAAAGGGTTCCGAAAGGATTTCTAAAGACTTGGGCCTCCATCAGTCCACAGAGTTTACAAATGGAAGAAATTCAGCATCGTTGCTACTCTCCCTAGGAGTGGGTGTCCTACAAAGATCAGTGCAAGGGCTTAGTCCTTACCGTAAGGTAAGGATCTGCAGGCATCTCTTGCATTTGAAAATTTCTTTGTTCATGAGTCTACCATAAGAAAAACAATGGTGTGGTGTTCATGGGAGGTTACCATGGAGGAAACCACTGCTTTCCAAAAAAAACATTACTGCCCATCTCAGGTTTGCTAAAGACCACCTGGATGTTCCACAGCACTACTGGAACAATGTTCTGTTGACAGATGAGGCAAAAGTTGAACTTTGTGGTAAATGTACACAGCGTTATGTTTGGAGAAAACAAAACACTGCATAGAAACACAAAATCTCATCCCAACTGTGAAGCATGTTTGAGGGAGTATAATGGTGTGGGGCTGGTTTGCTACCTCAGAGGGTGGATGGCTTGCAATAATTTAGGGAACAATGAATTCTAAGTTGTATCAGGAAATTCTACAGCAGAATGTCAGGGTGTCTGACTGTGATCTAAAACTCAAAAGAAATTGGGTCATGCAACATGACAATGATCCAAAACACAGGAGTAAATCAACAACAGAGTGGCTCAAACAGAATAAATTCCATATTTTAGAATGGTCAGAGTCCTGATCTCTATCCCACTGAGATGCTGTGGCATGATCTGATGCAGGCTGTTCAAGCAAGACATCACAAAACTATATATGAACTGAAACAGTTTTGTATAGAAGAATGGGCTAAAATATCTCCTAATCGCTGTGCAGGTCTGATCAACAGCTACAGAAAGCATTTGGTTGAGGTTATTGCCGATAAAGGAGGTTCCACTACTTACTAAATATAAGGGTTCACATACTTTTTCCATTTATGACCTTGATTGTTAAAACCATTTGTTCAATAAAGATATGGCTATGTAAAATGTTGTGTGTTGTTTGTTAAATAAGACATTACAGGAGCCATTCATGCAGAAATCCATATAATTCCTAAGGGTTCACAAACATTTTCTCACAACTGTATCTATAAATCTTTATATCCATTGATATTTGAACTATTTTTATGGGAAATATTTAGTAAATGTGTATATATATTCTAATTTTTTAAAATCCTTTCCAAGGGATCAGCAATCTGAAAACAATTCGGAGCCTTGTATTTGTAAGTACAGTATATTAAAAATACTTTGGGAAATAAATTGAAAGTGAAAAATTTGACTCCACCTGTATGTAATAATCTCTGTTTACCAATGCTGAAATCTCTTACTTTTTTAACAGATGCCAATGTCAATGAAGATAATCAACTGACAGTAATGGTAAACAAAAACTCACAAATCGCTTTCAATAACCACTCACCACATTCAGGGTCATGGTGGCCCAGAACCTGTGCTACAAAACATTGGGCACAAAGCAGGATACACCCTGGATGAGTAGTTAGTCCATGGCAGGGCCTACACAGACACAAACACATACACATTCATACCAGGGCCAATTCCTCAGAAGCCATTTAACCTAACAGTATGTCTTTGGACTGAGGGAGGAAACCAGAGCACCCAGCAGAAACCCACACGAACATGGGGAAAACATGCAATCTTCATGCAAATAATAACCCAGGAAATGAACCCAGGGCCCTAGTGCCGTGAAGTAGAAATGCTAAGAACTGTGCAACCATGCAACCCTAAACAAAAATTTGTATTATAAATAAAACACTAAATTATTATTTTATAATTAATATAAATTTTAAAAATTGGGTATTTCAATTACCGGTTCTTTCATATTGTTTTTTAGCTCAGTACCATGCAGTTTTGCTGGCTTGCTGAACAGCTCTTGTTATTTTAAAGAGAACTGCTAGCAGTCTTAATGCCTGAAATGTCCTTTTCTTTATTTATCTCCACAGCAACAGCAACAGCAAGATTATCACACAGATTTTGAAGTGTGCTATGCCACTGTGAAACGAACTGAGAGACCAAAAGAAAAAACCCCAGTGGCTTGCTTCAGTCAAACTGATGAATACGCTAATGTGATGATGCCCAGAGGCAGCAACTAATGGATGGCTTCAGAGGAGATGTTTCACTCTTATATTAAGCTCATAAATGGCCATTTTGCTTACCTCGCACAAAATACTTTCCATACTATGTACTGTATTACTGGTATGGCATTTAACTACTATGTTGCTCTTTTGGCTTTAAAGTAATTTTTCTCAGATATTTAACTGGTTATTTAACTGGGAAAGATCAATTCTAGATTCAATTCTATATTACAATTTCTTTCTGTCTGACTTCTGATTAATTACACCCTCTTGTGTGATTCTGTAATTATCGTACACTATTCTGTATATAGTGTGCTTTACACTCTTATAATAAAAGGTGTTTTTGCATGCTAAAGTTACTGTATGTCATTTTATTGACTTTTGTATATATTTTAAACAATATGGATTGTGATGGATTTTCATTTACACAAGTATAAAGAAAGTCTTACTTCTGGTTATCATAATTTCTGGAAACTAGTTTGGGAAACCAAATCAAAGATCTGGTTTTTAAAGCTAAGGAAATTCGAACTAAGGGTTTGCTCAGGGGGATGCTGTAAAATCAGCAGGATAACAGTGCTGGAGAGAATGTCTTACTGAAACTCTTTCACATTGAGGTACAGACCAGTGACTCAAAATGCTGTGACTCAAAATTTGATATACTGTATTATTTATAATGTCACATTTTTCATAGTATCTTGCTTCGTGTACCCTACCTTCCTTTTTTCCTCCCACGCTCCCCAGTAAGGGAACAAAATACCTTTAAAATGTGAGAAGCATAAATTCTCTGAACCTTTTCTGGCATCTCCCCATTGTAATTACTGTGTACTGTGTTGGTTTATATTCCAGTCATTGAACCAGTACTTTAAGAGCCTAAATCAAGTGATTGGTTTAATTTATCCCAATCTACATTTTATTTGTTTGCTTTTAATATTTTATAAATATTAAATATTTATTGATTTTAATTTTAAATGTATTACAATACCCATTTGCTTTGGCTAGAGACATCATCTTAATCATCAATGATTAATTGAAAATAACACCACAAGGCTGCACTTGAAGTGAATCAACGTAAAAGGAGAAATTAATATTTATATTCAGGTTATATTCCTCATGTTTACAATCACAATGACAATATGCATTAAGCAATATTAAGGTCTGCTTCCAACATAAATCATTTACTGAATGCTGTTCAGGAAGGTTTAAATTTAAAATTTGCACAGCCCTGCACAACTGTTTCTGAAGCTGTAACACATGATGCAAGTTCCCCAACACTGTGTTGAAAAAACAAACAACAGTTACCGAGTTGAACAAAAGCACATCAGGTTTGCAACTTTTACTATGCTGGATTCGACAAGCTGATGTTAGGGAAAAACATCCCTAACTTATTTTTATGTGAAAAACTGGAATGTGCTTAGCAGTTATTATACTTGTATAGTATGTACTCTAGGTGAGTACAGTATATTGTAGATCAATGTGTTGGCATCGGAGCTTTTTTACCATATTCCTTGAAACATTTACTTATGTACCAGTATTGCAGAGACCTTAACCTGCAATTGACTAGTTTCCCATGTAGGTTTTATGCTTGCAGTTTGCTATTTGCTGCAGAATGCAAGATGAGTTTTGACTCAAATGAGACACTTGCATTGTGGTGGAATATCAAAATTGTCTTAATTTTTGTTGGTGCAATAAGTTAGACAACACCCCTTCTGTTATGAGTTTCCATGTTTATTGTTGGTTGCTGTGTAGGCTAAGGATCTGTGCCTGTGGCTGGAAGGTTGCCGGTTCGTATCCCTTGGCCGGCAGAGGAATCCTACTCTGTTGGACCCCTGAGCAAGGCCCTTAACGCCAACTGCTCCAGGGATGCTATATAAATGGCTGACCCTGCACTCTGACCCCAAGCTTCTGTCTCTGTCTGTGTGTCTCATGGAGAGCAAGTTGGGGTATGCAAAAAGACAAATTCCTAATACAAGAAATTGTGTATGGCCAATAAATTGATCTGATCTTATCTTCCTTATGTGCATATTTTGTATGGCAAAATGGGAGTCATTTGTGAGTTGAGGCTTCAAATAATTGCCTGATACAGTATATAAAAAACAACCATGGTACAGTAAATGTCTATATAAATACAGGAGTACACAACATCACTCAATAAGTCAATGCAAAATAAATCTGTACAACCTAGATGGTTGCTCTATACTGCACTCTCTTTTTTTTCTGGTGCTTAGAACAAGTAACCCTTCATTAAAAGAGTAATCAGATTAGAACACAATACACCTTCATGATATATGTTGTTTTTAGCAGTTACAGTACTTCTCACAGATTGGTTAATTAAGAACAAGATGTTGTGTCTGTGAAAACAGTGCTCTTGTCTGAAGACTGAATTTATTTTCAGATGGTGGTATTTCAGGAAATGTCAACCTTTACTGAAGTTTATTTAGGTTAGAATAGCGTTTTATTTCTTTTAGACCCTTCAAGAAGGACCACGTCATCTTAGATGTACCTATAGTGAGGGTTTATTTCATGTTTCCTGTTCTGCAGAACCATGTTGCTCTCATTCACCACACAGGTCTCTACAGTACATCATTGCCTTTGTTATTACGATCATTTGGAACTTTGAAACTCACAATAAAATGATCTTATTTGCATTTTTCTATATTTTAAGTGAGTACAAGATAGTTCTCTTTCATTGTATGGAAACTATTCTAAAGAAGCATTTGCTGTTGTAATTAGATTGTTTAAGGCTAATTGTTGTTATACTTTTAGGTGTATTTTGGCATTTTTCCTGAAATTTAATATATATGCCATATTTTTAAATTACAGATGCCTTTGAAGTGAGACCAGGATTTGCAGGTATGCTATTTGTTTGTTATTATAAATTACCATACAGTACATATAAAAATATATATATATTTATTCTTTAAATGTTATATATTCTATTAAATTAACAAACAATTATTTTGGATTTTACTGACAGACCTGTCTGAAACACCTGAAGTTGAAGTGCACTTGAAACATTATTACATAGGTGATGATATAAGCATACGTTGTGGAGCCAAGAGAGGAATCCGCTGCCATTTCTACATGAATAGGAGTGAGGTCCCTTTCAGATCAGTGCCATACAGACAAGAGTATGGGCAGTGTCACCTCTCTCTATCTGTTGAGGAGCTGGTGGGGGACAGAGACTTTGGGAATAGCATTGAGGTGTCTCTGAGCTGTGCTGTGGAACTCCAAATGGATGGACAGCTGAATATTTCACAGCACAGTAAAGCTGAAAAAGTGACAGTAATTGGTGAGTTTGCATTTGTCTGTTTCTAGGGATATCCCTGTGCTTCTCAATAATTTTGCTACCTGTCAAGATACATCACTTGAGGTAACTTGGACTTCTTTATTCCACAGATAAGTTAGATAAATATGGAAGACCTCATATTCAAGTGGAGCACAAAGTGATAAAGGACGAAAGTTCTGTTCAAGTACTCTGTCACTCTGAGGCTGGAATACGCTGTTTCTTCTACAGTGGGCATGCTAAACAACCTTTTTCATCAATTTCGTACAGTAAGGAATTAAAAGCCTGTCACCTCACTGTGCCACAGAAGACTTTGCTGACAAGGACAGAGGACAGGATGAGTCCTGAAATCCTGCTGAGTTGCACTGTTGAAGTGAACTTAGAGGGAAGAGCAGTGACCTCACGACACAGCAAGAGTGTGAAAGTGAACATAAACAGGAAAAGTGCAGGTCTGTTATAGAAATGTAACTTAATTTTTGTACCCTTGTTTTTTGAAGTTAGTATTTATAATGTGAATTTAGATCTCCAAAGTAAAGGCTTGTGGACTACATTTTTGCTTTTTTAGATCATTTTGCATGTAATCCTCTTTTCTGCAGGTTGGAATGTGACTGAAGTGCCATTGTCAGAAAATAGTGAGTATGATGTTCTCCCATGAACAAAAGTCCAATTATTTTTCCTTCATTTATAAATTATACTAGTTTCATATACTGTACAGTACGTTCAGTTCTGTGCTTCTTCATTCAAAATGAAAAGGCTGTACTTCAGCTTCAGTGCTGATGCTTAAGAGGAAAGAAAGCAGTGACAAAGATGTAGTAGAGCATGTTGGAAATTATTGATTTAATAAATTCTATTTTTATAATTATTTTTTGGCTTTGGGCAAGACTGAAGTCACCAAAGAACTAGTGATTGACAGAAATAGTTCACGCATTTGTCTTCTTCAATGAACTGAATCGTGCATCTATTCTTTCTAACACTTGAAATAAACCAGGATAATGAGGATAATGTTTTGAAACAATTTTTCTCTGAATTGTTTTTATCTTTATATTTCATTATTATCGAAAACATTACATCCTTATATTACAGCAATTAAAATGACCAGTTCATTTACACCTGGATCAGGTGAGTGTATTACTTACTGTAGGAATATCAGGTTAATAAAAACTGTTACACTGATAAAGCTTTGATGTTAAAGCTTCATTTCAATTAGGGAAAACTATCTAAAAGTTATATTAAACACTTAAAATTTTACTTCTTTTCTGAAGCAATAGACCTTTTGCAGTACTATACGTAACCAACCAACCAAAAAAAAAACAATCAGGAGAAAAACAACAAATACACATAATATTTTGATAAATATTATTAGCAAAAATTACTACGTGATTAGTGTTGCCTACTAATGAAAATATGTAGAAATAGAGCATTGCTTAATTTATAAAGTAATATACATTTATAAAAGAAACACTGAATAAAAGGGCTAACAAAGCTTTATAGATCATTAAGCCTTATTTATAAATGAAAATATGCAGGACATTTTTTTTTTCAGAAATCTTTACACTATGATTGGAGACTTATTGATGTGTCTGTTACATGCCTTTCCGTCCCAAGTAATGTTGTGGGGGTGCAAATCTGACAATAACGCAGACTTATGAATTGTTGTTTTTACTATTGAATTTGTTTCTGGTTTTCTTCTGCTGGTTTTTCTTTGTCTTTCCAGGATACTCAAGTGTAAAAGTGATGGGGTCAGCTGTCGGAGGCCTTACCTGTTTCACAATAACAGTGGTTCTGGCTGTTATCTACTTGAAATGCAGTATGTCATCTGCCCTTGGTTCCTGTTATTTCAGTTCTTTCAAAAATACTAATGACAACTTTTTGTAAAAAAATATATTTTTTTACTCTATATTGAACTCTAGGAAGGTGATACAGTTCATTTCCTTGAGGATGATGTTACAGTATATCAGAGTAGTGCATTGAAATGATAAAAGAATGATATTCTAAATATAGGCACAGTACAAAAAGACACATTACTAACCCATATTTATTAGAAATAATAACATATTTTTGGCTAAAGCAATCTGGATCATCCTTCAGGGTTAAATAATAACAAGAGAATTTGCTTTGTTTTTCAGAACGGAACAAACTCAAAAGGGAAAGGTGAGTCAATTTTTAAACATTTATAATAATAATAATAATAATAAATATAGCAATAAACATATAGCACCTTTAAAGGTGGCATGTTAAAGCACTTAGACATCTCTCTTTCTGTAGGAAACAGTTCCACCGGTCCAGTATTTGTAAAGGTGGTCCTTGTAAGTATGAACACCTCGATCGACTACAAATAAGATAAACTGAAACCAAAACATCTTTTTCAAATAATAGTGGAATGGAAATAGCAACATATTGTCATTTTTTTTCTTCCCAACAGATCTCATTCAGGACTCCGCAAATCGCAGAACGGTAAATTTTAGATGTACTTATAATTTGCAAAAAAACGATAAATAATAAGTAGGTATTGATTTTTTTAAAGTGCCATTTAATATTGCAATGTTTTGTGGGTATTATAAGACCCTCCCCGAAAAGCACCAGTTTTATCTTGCCTTCATGATTTACAGTAGTCAAAGTGCAATGCTTTCTATTAGGAACAGATCAGAAGGTGCTCAGTATAACAATTCTCTTGTCTCTTTAGAATGTACAAAGCCGCATAGCCTACCAGAACTATGAGAATGTCCAGGGGACTCCATCCCCCCAAAACTGTGTCCAGTTTACCTGTAAGTATCCTGAAGTCAATACATATGAAAAGGCAGCAATCTGGGAATAATGTCAGAGTTGATACACCCACTCCATACTCTCTATATAACTTTTTCTAATTCATTAAAAGAGGATCCCCAATTATTCATGTTTAATGGTTCAATAGAACTGTTTCCATCAGTTCATCACTGTCTACTGTACTTCCATTTGGACAGTATTTATTTTCAAGGGACTCAGGATTGAACGAAAAGAGAAGACTGTTTTAAAAACTAGTGAAAATGACATGACAAATTCAAATCACAATGGTTTGATCATGGAGCCTACCTCTGGTGTTTGGAGAAATTAAGTGATTAAATAAAGCAGCCCTATTTTTCTTCATTTCTGTTCTACAATAATTACAATAAATTAATTTTCACATGAATGGACAACCTTTACGTGCGGTGTCTTCTGACAGTGAAGTTTATAATGGAATATTCTATAACAATCACTCTCATTCCTTGTGAAAAAAATTACATTGACTGATAAGTGCAAATCCTAATAATTTATCTCTGATCAGTTAAATTTCTAGTGTTGAATCTCTTTATTTTGAAGGACCAAAGGCATTGGAACAATTCACTGATTAGTGTCTCTTTTGAGTCAGTTGATTGCTTTTGGGTAATGAAGAATTCATAAAAGATCTGTGAACATCTTATCTGCCTGTCTTGCTATGACTTCAGTGTTTGGAGCCCAGAGTAAACAGTTGAAATGAAATTTGCTGTTGAAAGCAGACACTTTCAAAGCTAGAAGATAAACTCAATGCAAAATTGGGCATATCAAAGTGAAAAATTCAGAATATACAAAAGAAGAAAGAATGGCTACAATTACCACTCAGTCAAGACCTATTCGGACAAGAAAAATACTGTATATTTCAGAAAAAACATCAGAGCTGTTAAGGAAAACCCTAAAACAACTTTCAGTGAAACAACCTAGACAGAAAGAGCTGATGTATACCTCTCACAAGTTCGAAGAACAGAAAAGACAGATTAGCCTGCAAACATAAAGGTGAGCCAAAAGAGTTTGGCAAACAAAATTTTAGAGAAACGTGATGCCAAGATAAACCTATGCCAAAGCAAAGTCAAGTTGTGAAGAAAGAAAGGACCTACAGATCACCACCTAAGAGCACCACCTAATCAGTGAAGCATAGCAAAGGTAATGTTACTGCCTGAACATATGTGCCCTCCTATGGAGCAGGTTCATACATCTGTATTGATGATATATCTAATGATGGCAAAAAGAGAACAACTTCTGAAGTTTACAGACGTATTTTGTTTGCTTATGCAGAAGAAAATGCGTCCATACTTTTTGGGCACCACTTCAACTTGCAGAATGACAAAACCCCCGAACTTATGGACAATGTAACCAAGAGCTTCTTCTGGTGAAAGAACTGGAAAATGCTGATTGACTGGTCAAGTCAGCCTCCAGATTTAAATTCAATTGAGCATGCATTTTACATGATGAAGAACAATTTGAAGACAGGGCATCTCAAATTCTTATACAGTACAGTACAGTTTGGTGAAAACGCAGTTCATGTAGATATTATCTTAAAGGGTCATACAGCTACTTTTACTACATACTGACTTTTACACTGTAAACAAATTTCCTTTACCTTAAGTGACTTAAGTGAATGTGCCCCAACACGCATGGTTACTTGAAATCAGTTGATAGAACAAGAAATCTGTTTTTATTGTAATATTGTCAAATATATGTTTGGAATTTCACCAAACATAAAGGATATATTATATTGTAGTTACCTTTTCTATTAATCTCTTGATAAAAAATAGCTCCTGACTGTAAAGCAAAAAAAGGTTTTGAGTTTGCTCTGCTAATGCTTTCTTAGGGTACTGTACAATTTTAAAACAATTTGTTTTTCTTTTTAACAGATGCAAATGTCAATCAAGATTACCAGAGGCATACAAAGGTAATTTGTAAATCAAATTATTCATTAAATAAAAAAAAACTGTCAACAATGGCGGCCATCAATTTGATGCTAAAAATTATTTCTTGGTCTGTGTAGTGTTTTATTTTTGGAATAAAAACATAGATTTTGAAACAATAGTCCATTGTGACAAAATAACAGTGGCACGGTTTGTTTTTTCTTTACGATGTTCATAATGTATATTATCAATACTTAAGTTCATGTTTTTCCTTCAGTTGAGGCAATGTTAGTGTATTATTTACCATAATTATGGATTTACATTGATGTTGTAGTGACAGCCAGCACAGCTATCCTAGGCCAATTTCTTCAGCCCTCCAGGAAACACATATCAGAAAGGGTAGTGAACTATTAGACTTGGAACAAGAGGAGAAATATTTAACATTTCTGGGAAAAAGTTTTTTAAGAGTTTTGAAATTTGGTGGTATTGATTCTACTATCATCTCTGTAGGATCAACAAAATTACAAAAATGTGCAGGCAACTTCATCACTGAAACGGCCTTTCCATCTTGCCAAGGACTGTAAGTAGGCTGATGTTAAAAGACAAAGAGTGACAGCAGTCCAGGGATAATTTCAGAAAGGAATGGTGGATAGAAGGGCACAGATTGTTCAGTCCATATCCTCTTTCCAATGTTTTCTAATCCAACAACAGTCTTCATTTTTTATGATGGAACTATTAACTCTTTATACTGTAACTAAAGCAATTTAGACTATTGGTATTGACTACTTGGATGACACTATATCTGATAAATTGTATTTTTTCTAGCTTTCAGTTTTAATACATATAATCCCATAGCAAAGACACCTGTATATTTAAATTAATGTTTTAAATTAATGTTTTTGTTTCATATTTGTTTTTAATTTTTTTAGTCTCTTACACAGATGTTAATGTCGGCCAAGACTGCAAAAGGCCTGAAATGGTAATTTGTAAATAATATTATTCATTAACTAAGCAAAAAAAAAAACAAACAACTGGCAACCTTGGCAACCATCAATTTGATGCTAAAAATGACTTCTTGGTCTATGCAGAGTTTTATTTTTGGAATAAAAACATACATTTTGAAACAAAAGTGGAATGTGACAAAATAACAGTGGCATTGTTTTTTCGTTGCATTGCTTATAATGCATATTATATATAATTATCAATACTTATGTTAATGTTTTTCCTTCAGATGATGCAATGTTACCATAATTATGAATTTACATTGATGTTATAGTACCAGCCAGCACAGCTATCCTAGGCTAATTGGAGCAAGAGGAGTAATTTTTAATGTTTTGGGGAAAAAGGTATTTTTGAAATTTGATAGTATTGATTCTGCTATCATCTCTGTAGGATCCACACAATTATGAAAATGAGCAGGCGGCTTCATCTCTAAAACAGCCCTTCCAGCTTGCCAAGGACTGTAAGTAGGCTCATGTTTGAAGACAATGAGTGACAGCAGTCCAGGGATAATTTTAGAGTGGAATGGTGGATAGAAGAGCACAGATTGTTCAGTCCATACCCTCCCTCTTTTCAATGTTTTCTAATCCTACAAACACTCTTCATTATTTTTGATGGAGCTCTTAACTCTTTATATTCTAACTGGAGGAATATAAACTAAAAGAACAACTATGATTGTCAAAATCCTAGTGGAGTTGATTACTTGAATGACACTTTATATTTTTATAGATTGTATTTTTTTCTACCTTTCAGTTTTAATCAATATAATCCCACAAAGAATCCAATTGTATATTTAATGGTTTTGTTTTATATTTGTATTTAATGTTTTTATTCTCTTACACAGATGTAAATGTCAGTCAAGACTGCAAAAGGCCTGAAATGGTAATTAGAAAATTAAATTATTGAATTATGTTGAAGAATACCAATGGGCATTACATAATATATATAATAAACATTAGGTGCTAGAAAGGATCAAATTATATTTGTCGTGTGTTGTTGTGTGTTGTATAGTATTAAGTTAATATACGGTAGGATTTCATGACAAACTAAACAGCAATGGTATTATGTTTCATCTATATTTCCTACTAAGCAAAAATGTAAGCATTTGAAAGTCAGTGGTGTTTTTCCATTCATCTCTGCAGGACAGCTCATCTGATGATGATGATTACGAAAATGTGCCAGAGTCCAAAAAGGACTATGTAAATGTTCTCGAGGAATAGCAAAGGATAAAAAACGTGGATGGGCAGCAATCTTGATGTTCAGAATGTGGCAAAAACGAAGGTCATAACAGAGGAAGGGATGGTTTTGATGTTTACAGTATGTACACTGTAGTTTCAGATTCTTCTGTAGACTTTCAGGTTAAAAAAGATTATGCTTTTAAATTGCTTTAACTTAGGGACAGTACCTTAATATCTTAAATCTCTCATCTCTTAATTTAAAGAGAAGGTTGTTTTACATGGATCTTTATATTAGATAGATAGATGATAGATAGATACTTTATTGATCCCGTGAGAGAAATTGCAGTGCAACAGCAGCTTAGCATAGTCAACACAGCACAGTGTAACAAATTGATACAATGATACAATAATACAACAATACAATACAATGCATACAATACAATCAGAACAGTCAGTGAGAAGTGCACTAAGAAGAGTTGCTCACAGTACAGAACATACAAAGAACAAACCAGAACAGTACACAAAAAGTTGTATTGCACATTATAAATATATTGCACAATACTGCACAAATATATTAGACACTTAACAGAAAATCCTTACAGGTATATATCATAACAGCCATCAATAGGCACTAAGAGGAGCATTTCTCACATTAAATTTGCTAAGAATTCCAATGTGCATTTTTTCTTGAAATAAAATAACCCATTCATAACCAGGTGCAGCTGTATTCTGTTAATGAAAACCAAGAAATTATTCTGTGATGTTTTTTTTTCTCCCACAATCAACACTCAATTTCTACTGATGGCAGTTATAATCTAAGCATTATTATAATGATTTCAAAGTGAAGCAAGAAAGGGACTCAGACGTCTTGGAAACATTTGTGTGGGTATACTGAACACACACTCTGTGTCATGTTTTGTGTAGGGGGACAGGTAAAGGTTTATTCCATGCTGAAAAGAGAAGAAAAGAAACAGTGTTTCGGCCTTCTTGTGTTGTTTTGTGTTATGCAAGGTACATTGTTGACCACTTACTGTATGTTTTTACTCCTTCTAAAGATGCTTTCATCTTTTTATACCTCTAGCAAACTGCCTAAACTTTAAACAAATGACCACTGCCCAGAAGAGACCTGCCACTGGCTTTTAAGTAAGACAAGTGAACTACTGTATACTGAAGCTGTGTTTTTCCTTTGTTAAAATATTTTTTTAAATCAGACCTGCCCCTAGGCTTCAATATGTTCAAGCACTGTATTGTAAGACATACACAGGGGAAGAGTTCAAATTGTTAGTGTTCAACATTGGTAGCTGGAGCAAATTGTTTGAAAAGGTCTCTGCAGGGCTAGAGATAAAAGGGCCTTCCACCACAGATTTTGGAAGGTGGAAGGTGAAATAGAGCAAGTCTTGTGACATGTGAAAGGAGGGCAAGAGGGTTATTCTCCTTTATGTAGTATTAGCGAAATTGTTAACTTCTAACTGAACTTTTCTGTTGTAATTGTATTGTTGACAGAACCTGTCACGCAGTTAATAAAGTGTTTCAATACTGTATTTGTCTGCTTTTGATGAATAATAAATTATTTTAGAGATGTTTTATTATTTTAGTGAAGAATACTACCATCTTCATTGCCTTTTTTAAGCAATAGCATATGTGCTTTTGGCTACGCCTATAATGAATACAAATACTACCCCAGTTTTCCTCATGATAAACTGTATACTCAACTGACATATTTAAATTTACAATCATGTATTTAATTGCACAGCTGGATGATTGTGTGTCGGTCATGTGCTAGTTTCTTTAATTCAATGCTACTACCAGGATTATATTGTCCCCATCCAGTTTCACATGCTTTGAATCCAAACATAAGTCGATTAATCATAATAGTGTTGTGGGAAATATTTCAACAGAGGAGCAAGACGCTGTGCAGACTCAGCCTTCATTTAGCTCAATACACACAGAGACTGAGCAATAATAATAATTCTCATTATACACTAGTCTCATGTAGTACGTGACAGTTTGGTTTGTTTCATGCTCAGATGGCTTATGTGTTTTTTTTTTAAAAGGATATTCTTAATCATTCTTTCTCTTCATTATACTGAGGCCAATTTCTATTGTTTACACAAAGTCAGTTATTATGTTACTTTAACAGATCTCAAAACAGTCTGCTAACCAGTACATACTGTATATGTTAACATAATCCAGTATTTATCCTATGCATATTAAGTACTAACACTTTGACCTTGAATATGTCCCTTATCTGAGATGAATTGTAGTGAGTGGGCCAGGAGGTGAGGTGGTGCGGGTGCTAACCACAGCCTAAATGTTGCTATTCTGACGTTCTCTCTTGCATTTCAGAGATGCTGTGCTCATCATATTTCTAACTGTATGCACTGCAGTTTCTATTTTAAAATACATGCCCTTGCTCCCCAGATGCGTTATTGTGGTATGATGGGATAATTGTACATCATCTTTTCAATTGGTACAGAGCTTTTTCACCCCACATGTATATAACTTTATATGTGAAATGAGAAAGTTGCAAAAGATGTCTTTAGTCATTTTCACATTTATAACCAGATTGCAGGTGATTCATTATGATTTGATCCTTATTTATTTTAATATAAACGGTTAACAATGAAATAAAAATTAAAATGCATTATATCTACAGTATGAAGAGTGGCACAGAGCCACAATGGTTAGCATTGCTGCCTGTCAGAGACGTGGCCCTACAGTATATTAAATTCCACACCTGGGGTGCTATCTGCATGCAGTTTGTCTGTTCTCTCCATGTGCTCTGGTTTTCTCCCACAGTCCAAAGACATACAGTACTGGTAGGTTAATTGGTTAATTCGAAAACTGGACCTGGTGTGAGTGTATGTTTGTGTCTGTGTGTGCCCTGCAATGGTGTGCCATATCCTACTTTCTGCCTGTTGCTTCTTGGGATAGGCTCCAGCTCCCCTGAAATCTATACATATCTTGATACATACTGTACATTGTATTTGCACACAAATATTATTTTTATTCTGCTTTTTTAGATTGTAGGAAATAATTATGTATTCATTAATTATGTAAACAGTGTGAATGTTTCAGGTATCCTTTCAAAAAAGTGTAAAATGCATTCAATCATTAATTGTATTTATTTGACTTTGCTAAAGAATGCTGTAGAAAAAAAATCTAAAGAAGTTCAATATATGGGAGGCATAAACATAGGCACAACACACATTATTGAACTATAATACAGGTGCACTTTTACTATAATTTGTAGTAGGACTGTAGAAACATGTCAATATGAGCATGATGCACGTGTACATAATCTCTACTTCTAAACTCCATTGTACAATGGGGATAAAAACAAAACTAGTTTAAATGGCATGCAGATAGTTTTAGTGATCTTGCATGGGTGAGAATTTCACCTTCAGTTTTTATCTGAGTGCTCCCCACAAACTGAAAAAAAACCTTCTTCATAGATGAATATTCCTTCTTATCATAGCCCAAATGCTAATGTTTATGTGTGGTTTTACAAAATATATTTCTTAACTTCAGCTGTTTTCACATCTCTTGTCCTGACTTGATACCTTAAAGCTTTGTACCCTCATCTTTCTCACATGAGAAAAGATACAAACATGGAGAATGGATACGTTTTATTTCATTGGTGTATTCAGTCTCTTTTATACCATATTTTGTGCAGCCATACCTATATACCTATAAGGGGCGAGGTGGTGGCTCTGCTGCTAATGATCTGCACCTGTGACTGGAAGGTTGCCAGTTCATATTCTGTGGCTGGCAGAGGAATCCTACTCTGTTGGGCCCCTGAGCAAGGCCCTTAGCCCCAACTACTCCAGGGGTGCTGTATACAGTAAATGGCTGACCCTGTGCTCTGACCCCAGGCTTCTCTCCGTCTGTGTGTCTCATGGAGAGGAAGTTGGGGTATGTGAAAAGACAATTTAATTTCCTAATACAAGAAATTGTATATGGCCAATAAAGTGATCTTATCTTGTTCCTTATTGTAAAAACTTTGACTAAGAAAACCGAATTAACACAAATCCAGTCCTTAAAAAATAATGAGGTTGTGCCAAACACCACTCTTCTTTATACATTTCTTATTTTTAATTGAGTGTGACATACAATACTGTATATCCTTTAATTAAAAAGCTTAGTATTGTTATATCTACAAACCACTGACTACTTGCTTGTGTCTGTGGTTTTCAGTCACATACGGTATGTGGTATTGTGATCACATAAGACTCATTGTTAAAGTTCAAAAGCTTCGTACTGTGCAAATATGAAGTCTAAAATATGTTGTTATTTATGCAGGAGAGGGTGAAATACCCATTCCCCTATGTGTAAAAGCTCCCTGGCACATTTTTATTCCTGCAGCTCTTTCTCTCTGACTCATACCTCATAAGTTAGGAGTGATCCAACAGCGCTGATCTCTGCTTAGCATTGTCATTTTCATAGCCAGGCTAGTTAAACCCAAAGTATTAAGTACTCTACCCCTTCATATTCGCTGGTTCCTTTTGTCATTAGATAACTGAAATGATGTTATTCACAGACAGCAAAAACATATTTTGTTTCCATGGGATATGAAAACTGTCATGAAATAACAGAAAAAAATGCATGTAATTATGTAAATTAAAATCATAGATCACTGTGAATTAAAATGTGTCAAATACATGCTTAATGGCAATAAATTATAAATATGCCCAAATAAATTCAAGACCATTTGCAGGGGGACCTTCAGTACTTGGTTTTTAAAATCTTCAGCTGTTGTATTCTCACAATCAGCCCACAGCAACTCAGATAACCCGATACTTTATACTGTTGAACAATATGTAAAGCAGTTTCTTTTTCCAAATTTCAAAATGTAGTAAGTCATTAATCTTGCAGACTTCACCTGTTAATACTTGGCAATATTGTGCTTGGATTAACAAACAGATGGCATTTCATAGATTGGATGTCAATTGGATGACCTCCTGGAGTGGGATAACACTGTAAATTCTATTTTTGAATAATGATTTGTGCAGCCTCAAAGGTCCAATGGATTAATTTTAGGAATGTACTTACTTTTGTTTACTTCTGCTTGCTTGCCCAGTATTTTAGTTTTTCAGCTTGGATAGTAAAAGGTATGGAAAGGATTGTTTTACCTTTACCATACAATATATTTCTAATACATTTCTTTTATTCATTTTGCAAATGAGTTCATCCAAATTTGCATGATGCAAATGGTACACACTGTATAACAGTAGCATAACACTTCAATAAAACCACAAAGTACAAGCAGAGTTAATTAACTTCTAATGTTTTACAGTGTTGCTTGCCAAACAGGAGATAGACAATAAATGTTGGCTAGTCATGGATCTCTAGTGATAGAAATGCAGTACACTGAAGATGTGAGTTTTCAGATTCTTCCAGAAGATGGTGAGTGAGGCTGTGAAGAGCATAATAAAATGATATTCTGTGTTTGCATTACTTTATAATTTGGTATAGGCTTTTGTGTTAATTGGATAGGAGAACAATAATAATGAAAAAAAACTTCTAGTAAGTGGTCCAAAACTTGAATGAATTCATAATGAATTCAAAATGAATTCATAATAAAATGCTTTGCAAAAGTATTTAACCCTTGCACAATTTTTACATTTTGTTGCTTTTAAAGCCTCCAGTTGTGACATTTTGAATTAGCTATTAATATTTGACATTCACACAACCTTTTGCTGTGGCCTAGAAAGCTTTCTATACCAATATCAAAATCTTTGTTTACTCCTAAAGGATGACAGAGTTATTCTACTGGGGGATTTCAATCCCATGGCTGGAAATGTCTTCATTGCATCCCTTGACAATGAAGGAGATGGAAATATCAACTCCAGGGTCATTGTTCTAACCACTACTTCCAGTTCAGGGTTGCTGGAGAGTCTAAACCTATCCTGTCAAGTAACAAGATGAAAGTGGTTACACCCCGGACAGGGCAGACAGACAGACACAAACACAGACACGCAAACACTAACACCGTGGTTAATTTTTCTGTGGCTAATTGGACTGTGGGAGTACTAAAAAGATAGAACATAAAACTCCACACACATAGCACCCTAGCTCACGAATTTAATGCAAGTCTCTCACCTTGTGAGGTAGCAATGCTAACCACTGCACCACCATGCCTCCAATCAGTCCCATTACTCTTCCTACCAAATTGCTTATACCATGTCTTCATCATCATCCTCAAAGCCATTTTAGCCAGGAAGATAGCCATAGAACATCTTGTCTTATGAAATCAACTGATAAAGAACAATAAAAACATCCTATAATTTTATTATAAGTCCTTTAATCGATTGCTTAGGAATGAAATCCACAAGACACAAGGCCCCAGAAGACACACTGTCACCGGCCAAGTAACCAGGCTTGGCTCAAAAGAAAAGAAACTCCCACAAGCAGTCTTCAAATGCAAACAAAACTGGATTTATTGCCCAACAACAACAACAACAACAACAACAACAACAACAACAACAACAACAACAACAACAACAAACCCTCACAGGAGTACTCCCCACACCTTTCCTCCAAGGCACCCTCCTCCATACTGAGCTCTCCCAGTCCTTTATAGCCCCTCCTCTTCTAAGGACCATCCTCTTAAAGGGACCCGCTCACATTTTCTTAACAGAGATGGGCAGATTGATCAAAATAAAGTATTTAACCATCCCCCCCCAAAAAACTAAATTTTAACAGAGTCATGCAACCGTGATATATTCACGGTTAACAAAACAACTAACCTTACATCGGTTATTTATAGATGGCTCACCAGTAACCTTTCCCTTTAAGATCATTTGTGTGATACTACAAACAGGAAAGGTGACTGGTGGCCATCTTGATCAACACAACACAATACAATACAATACAATACTCCAAATGGGGATAACACTGCAGTGATTTTAGGTGTAGTGTGCTCTC